ATCTTCATTTTTTATTAGAATACATGATTTTTTTTTTATTATTTTGTACCACAAATAATTTTTTGTGATGTAATGTTGTGAATTTTTATTGATTTTCGAAGATTGATTACAAAAGTTAATATTTTCTGTTAGGTTTTTAAATTTAGTGTATATCTGGTAGGATTTAGAATAATCTGTATGAAAGAAAATATGAGTGGCTAGAATTTGGTTCAAAGTGATATATCTGATTTCAATTTGTATTTTAAATTAGAATCCAAATTTGTAGGCTTAATTGATTTTATGAGAAAATTAGATTCCAAATTTGTAGCCTTAATTGATTTTTTGAAAAAAAAAATCGAAAAATAATTGTATTTTGATATGTGATTGTATTATGGAGGAATAAACTAATTTCTTTATTTTAAGCGATTCCAATTTGTATTTAAATTTGATTCCAAATTTGTAGGATGATTGAACTTTATGTTAAAAAAAAGTAAAAATGTAATCTGATTGTATGTGATATGGGATGAGATTGTATTATGGAGGAATCAACTAACTCCTTTATTTTAGGGGATTTTAGTTTGTATTTGAACTACATTCCAAATATGTAGGCTACATAAGTCAAATATTGTTTCAGTTTTATTTTTATTAAAAAAATAAATAAAAATAGTAAGCAATTAATGTTGTCCTAAAATTATGGTTACTATTTTTGGTAAATGGTAATTCTTTTTTTTTATATATATATAGATTCAATTCCTACATGTACAGTCTTTCATACACCTACCACACATTAGATTAAATTTACTAAAAGTTCCAGTCTTTTCATGAGAAAAACCAACAATTGCCTAGGGAGGATCCAGTGCCTGCAAAACGGCCCCCAGCCTGTCATGGAGGAGCATGTCGTGCAGAAGTCTGTCATGGTCGTGGAGGAAGAGGTACAATATCCTGCTCATCTACAGAGTCGTAGTCCTCAGCCTCATTTGAGGACTGCAGGCTCTCGACTATCGACTCAAAAGAATAATCCGACTGTCGACCAATATATACTGGAGGGAGAGGTATCGTACTGCCAGGCAAGAATAACAGAGTCTGCTGACCACTATGTACTAGAGGAGCGGGAGGTCTCGAACTGCCAGCCTGACCAGTCTATGTCGCTCGAAGCTGACGCATCATCTCCTCTCTCTTCCGACGAGCGGAAACATCTATAAACCAACTCCTTGCGTGTTAAGGTCCAGAACCATAATAATCTACAACCTATTCAACGGTGGCTCGTTGCAGAGGACCAGCAACCTAAATCAGTAATTTAAATTAATAATTAGTTTCCTAAAATACATTAAATATTACAAGTAATTATTTTTAAAAATTAAGTAATGTTTCGTAAACACATTATTAATATAATTAAACTTTTTGATTATATAATTATACAAACTAATTAATTTAAAAATTCTATAATTTTTCCAACTTATATTATAATACTAATTATAATTTAACTAATATATATAATATATTAATTATAACTAACATATTCATTAATAAGTAACATATTCAATAATAATCACCTAAATCAAAAAATTAATTCAAGTATATATTTTTCTTTAAATATTTAAACATAGTTTAAATAATTTCAATTATAAATATAAACAAAAGAGAAAAAGAAAAATTTGGCCAGCCGACGGCCAGAGATGGAATGGCCGATCGTCGGAGCTGGCCGGCTTGCGTCTGACCGGACACATTAACTGGCTACCTAAGGCGCGGCATAGGGCTCGCGGCCGGTCGAGCCAGACCCGACCGCAATCTGTGAGCGGCCTCGCCACACTGGGCGGCGATCGGCGGCCGACCATTTCCACGTCGGCTGGCGCCGCAGAATTAAAAAAAAAAATTACAAAGCAAAAAAAAAAAAAATATGCCGATCATGTATCCCTTGTCCATGCCCCCACGTTGATGTGACATTTTTTCGGAATTTTTTAGAGAGAGAGAAAGAGAGTAAAGAGAAAGAGGGTGGAGAGTATAGAGAGATAGAGAGAGAGTGTGTGTGTGTGTAGAGGAGAGAAAGGTGTTTAAAAACTGAAGAAGGAAAAAAAAATGTTTAGTACCTTTTCCAAAATTCCTACTCCCTTTTCTAACTTCTTTTCAGTCCCTAAGTTGTATATTTTTTTTTTTTCGCTGCACTCCCCGCTCTAAAATCATCTTCCTCTTAACTCCCTATTATTTAAATAAATCAAAAATAAATTGAAAATGATATCATCCCCATACCATTCATCTCATCTTATTATTTTATTATTTCTCTCTCTCTCTCCACTACTAACTTTCTTATTTTTTTTACTATTTTCTTTCTCTCTCTTTCCACACATTTTTTTATTATTTTTTTCTCATCTTCTACTATTCATCTCTTCTACTTTTATATTTTTTTTTTTAGTATTCTTCTTTCTCTTTCCTTGCACGCAATATATAGGTATTAAATTACAACAACATTGGTATTGTCCTGCTACATTACATGTATTATTTTTGTAAACAAATATTTACAGTATATATTCATTTTTGTTCATATAAGTCGGTATTAAATGACAATATATAAGTAATGAGTTACTACAACAGTGGTACTGTCCTATTCCAATATAGGTATCAGTTTTGTAACTCATTAAAACAAACTATTATGAATCTAGTGTGATGCACGAGTAGTAGATATTCATTAATATTTACATACTAAAAATTTTCACTAAATATATTTACAAATAAAAAATATGAAATCAATATGTAATACTCCCCCTATATTAATTTATTTAAAATATTATATGAAATTTAAATTGTCAAAAGTATATAAAATATGTCTATTTAAAATTAGTACACAACTCATATGATGTACATAACTGATAATAAGTTACATTATTTCATTTCAAAATAAGTGTCATTCTAAAATTTTTATTCAAAATTCAATTTGAATATAATGTGGTTCCATAAAATAAATATTTTGGTAAATTTTTTATCATATATTTAAAAATATATGTGAATAATAAGTATAATATTGAAACTTATATCTTTTCATTAATTAATATAAATTTATTTTTGTATAAACTATCAAAAAAAAAAATTCTATTTTACTAATCTTTATTTCATGTAAATCTATATTACACTAATCTCACGATTTTTAATGTTTGTTGTATGTTACTCTGTCGTTCATATTTATCATCTAATTCTCTATAATTAAATTATAAATTTTACTAAAAACTGTTTATTCAAAGATCTATCTAATTTTCAAGAGGAATATATTTATTAACTAGTACGATACCCGTGTACTATACAGGTACTTAAAATATACTATTATTTGTACAGAAGAAATTTTAAAATAAAATATTTTTTTTTTTTGTAAAATTATGTATAATAAATATAAAACATAATAAATAACTAACAAAGTAGTAATTAATTCAAAATGGGGTCCGTATTTTTTCACTTAATTTTCTTATTTTATTTAAAATCTATTATAAAATGCAGTATAATGATTATTTTATGGTGTATTACTGAATTAAATTTTTATTATATTTATTATAAAATAATTTATGTTGTATTCATGTTTTTGAAATTATTTTTTTAATAAATATAGTTTTATTTATAATGATAGATGTAATTAATTTTTAATTTTTTATATGCAATATGGATGTCAAATCGAAAATCATTAAAATATGATTATTTTGAAATACAACATAAAAAAATAAAAATAAAAATAAAAAATTATAAAGATTTAAAAATAAAAAGAATACATATTATTATAACAATTATAATATGAATAAATAAAAAAGAGTAAGAGTAGTATATGGTAACTTGAGAAAAAAAAAACTAAAATAGTTTATGATAATTCTCAAGCCTAAAACCGAACACGTACTATGTCAATACAAAGCATATAATTATGCCAAATAATCTTCTGAAGCATATGAGCCTGCCACTTAGGCTCAGGCCATTCAGAAATTATATATAGGGGCGATTTATAAAATTATCATTGATATCTTATGACAAGTTATTATATGAATACGCTAAAACTTGAAAATTATATCACCTTGATTTTATAGCAAATCAACCTAAAATTTAACTTTCATACTCATACCAAATAAAATTTGTACTACTTATTTTATTTTTAAAATTAAATACATTTCTATCCATACCAAATGAATCTCATATCATTTAAATTTGGACATTTCATGCCAAAATAAAACCGCACTTAATTTTTTAATTATAATACTCAACTACTATCTTATTCTAAAATTTTGTGTCATATAATATTATTAAATTAATTTTTTAAATTAACAACCCAATTTTATTATATGGAAATATTTGTTATTTCTAGCAAACAAAATTTTATACTCTAATAGCTTACGCAACACGAATTTATGTTTACGCTGCGTGGTATAAGACCCAAAACGCAACGAATTACGTTATAAACATTTTAAAAACTAAAAGGAATATAATTTTAATATAAATGGCCGTTAAGGCGAGATTATATTATTTATTGTGAAACCCCGTGCGTCAAGAAGGACTACAGTTATAAATATTTATTTGTTGAAAATTAAGCACATCATTTTTACTTTTTCTACAGAAAACAAATAAATACTATGATAGGATATCAGCCAATTTAATATGTGATATATCATGCTTATCAATTTCATATATGGAATGTTTCGCGTAAGTGATTTTAATTTCAATAAATATGGAATATTGCGATTGTTGATATATTAAGGGATGATCTTTATTTATATTGAAATTAAAAGACATATTTGTTTCTATAAAATGAAAATTATCAAAAAATAAAATCAAAATATTACTAAATTCCAAAATTAAAGCTCTATTGAGTTCATGACCACTTGTCGAGTAAACTTAATTAAACACATTCAAATACTCATAGAAACTAATGTATAAGTGTTTTTTAGTAATATAAACATCATTTAAGACAGAAATTCGATGTTCTTTTATGTTCGTTGGAATTGGTACTGAAGACGCGATATTGGGTACTAAACTATCATTTAATGGAACTGTCTAACTCTAGGAGTGGTAATACTTTTACAAACATCATCATCATCAACATCAACATCAACATACCCAGTATATTCCCAAACAGGTTGGGGTCTGGGAGGTCAGTTGTACGCAGACCTTACCCTTGTAAATTACAAGGAGGCTGTTTCCATAGCGACCCAAGGTGCGTTGCGTTGTTTGATATATTTTTACAAACATCGACCAAAATTAAATTAATTCATATTGGTCAAAGTAGGTACTAATTGATTAAAAACAGGTACTGATTACAAACATTATTGGTACTTTTTCTAAGAAAACATGTAGCATTTTACTAAACGTGATTTTATTAATCCGTCACGTCTACCATGTCACGAGGATCATTCACGCATGATTTTGTTCAAAACTATATGAATTTAAAAAATATAGGTGGAATTTAGACTAGTTATGTGTGTTCAATGCGATGAGGTGTATCATTCAATGAAATGAAGTGTATTAGTAGTGTTTATTCATTAGTGTGTTGAGTTCATGACCAATTTGCGATTAAACTTAATTAAACACATTCTAAATCTCTTAGGAACTAGTGAGTGAGTGATTTTGAGTCATATAACATCATTTAAGACCAAAATTTGGTGTCTTTTTTATGTTCGTTGGAGTTGGTACTGAAGACCCGATATGTGGTACTAAAACACCATTGAATGAGTAATATCTAACTCTTGGGTCAGTACTAATTTCACAAATGTTGGCCAAAATAGAATAATAAATTTTCATTTGACTAAAGTAGGTACTAACTGATTAAAAACAGGTATTGCGCAAAAGAACTATTTATACTATGGGTTGTAAAACAGGTACCTTTTTAGTAATCGTGATTTCTTTAATCTGTCATGTCTATCATGTCATGTGGATCGTTTACGCTTGATTTGGTTGAAAAATAGTCGAATTTTAAACATATATGTAGAATTTAGAGTAGTCATGTATGTACATTTTAAATCTCATAGAAACTAATGTGAGAGTGATAATGGGTCGTATAAACATCATTTGAGACCGAAATTCGGTATTTTTTTATGCCCGTCGGAGTTGGTACTAAAGACTCGATATGTAGTACTAAAACACCAAAGCTGATACTATATTACTCTAAGTCTGGTACCAATTTTTGCAAATGTTGGGAAAAACTAAAGTAATACATTTTCGTTGACCAAAAGTAGGTACTAATTGATTAAAAAGATATTACACAGAAGAAAAAGTGGTACTATTTCTGTCAAAACTGGTACCATTTTAGTCATCGTGATTTCTTTAATCCTCCATGTCTACATGTCACGTGGATCGTTCATGCATGATTTGGTTGAAAAATAGTGGAAGTTAAAACATATCGAGTCATTAGCGATATCCTTTTGGCTCAGGAGATGATACACGATATCTCTCATGCGAATCGAACACGAACCCCGAACCTCGTGTTGAAGCTAGACATGGCCAAAGCATATGATAGGGTCGAGTGGTCGTTTCTCAGAGAGGTACTGTTTCGGATGGGATACCCTAACCGATGGATTAGCTTTGTGGAGGCGTGCGTGGAGCACTGCACGTTCTCCGTTTTGATTAATGGTAGTACGACCTTTTTCCCTTCTACCTGCGGCCTTCGTCAGGGAGACCCCTTATCCCCCTTCCTTTTCTTTCTGGTAGCTGACTAACTCTCTCACTGCCTTGACGGCTTCATTCGCGACTTTCCGAGGATTACCTACAGCACGCGTGGTTGTGGGCCTCCCATTTCCCACCTCTCTTATGCGGATGACATTATCATTTTCACTCGTGCGAATGATAATGGGCTAGTAGATCTCATGAGTCTTTTGGA